CGCCGGACGACAGCGTACCACCCACAGACCAACGGCCTCACCGAGCGGCTTAACAAGACGATCGCCGACATGCTGTCAATGTACGTCGATGTCGAACACAAGATGTGGGATGCCATTCTTCCGTATGTGACCTTCGCATACAACACGGCGGTGCAGGAGACGAGGCAGATATCTCCATACAAATTGGTCTACGGAAGGAGCCCGGCAACGACGCTCGATGCCATGTTACCCAACGTCACCGACGAAGAAAACCTCGATGTGAGCGAGTACCTTCAACGCGCCGAAGAAGCCCGACAACTTGCACGTCTCCGTATCAAGAATCAACAGACGACCGACAGCCACCGTTACAATCTTCGACGACGCTTCGTGGAATACCAGCCCGGTGAACGTGTTTGGGTGTGGACGCCGATACGCCGACGTGGACTAAGTGAAAAGCTTCTGCGACGGTACTTCGGACCGTACAAGGTGGTTCGACGTCTCGGCCCACTTGATTACGAGGTTGTCCCCGACGGCATCACGAACTCTCAACAACGCCGATCGCGACCTGAAGTCGTCCATGTCGTACGCCTCAAGCCGTTTCATGCACGTTAACAAACTGAAACAGTGTTTTTTTGTATTATTGTTGTATTGTAATTTATTCATTGTACTTTCTTGCATTATTATTGTACCTTCATCTTTAGTTAAAGCATCGGGACGATGCCTTTTTTCAGAGGGGGGCAATGCCACGTTCCATTTCACAAGTTTTTGTTATCGTTCCGAAACACCACACGAATCTCGGCGCAAACCGCGCCTGCAGGTTTCGAGAAGGTTCCGGACTGTAGTAGATCATTTCGATAAGATCACGCCCACTGTGCGAACGGTACAGATTGTTCTGGAACCTACGTCACCGCCAGCGATAACGCTAGAACATTCGATGGCAAGGGTATAAATGCCGATGCGCTTCGCCGCTTGTCAGTTGTTGATCGAAGGCCGACGCTGCGTTCGCCGCTATCAGTCCGAGGCTGCTATCTGTGCAAGACTGCTGCTGTAATTAGACTTTCCTTTTACCGGGCACAGGTACGCCCAAATAAACAGTTAAATCCCAACACGAAGTTTCCTGTCTTTGGCCACGTCACGACCTCGTGACAATATGTAAAAGGATGTGAACTATGTTAATGTTACATGGCTATATAAAGGCCCTAAATTTTGTGCCCTTAGGTGGGTAAAACATACAGTTATTAAAGTTATGAACGTGACCTAAAATGTATATAGCGGGAATAAATGGCAATGCTCGTGGTGGCAAAACTTTGTTCAAGATATGGCATAAGCACGATTTCCTTGTCAGCGCCCTTGAGACCAAAGGCTGTGCAGGAGCTGTTTCCTTTAATGTAGCCACTGCAGCAGCAACCTCTGCTGAGAGGTCGTGCTACGAACAACTTGAAATGTGGGTTGAAAACTATGTGTTTCTATTCAAAATGCATAGAGTGCTTCATTTTTAAAAAGTGCATCTCTACCAATGATCATGACAAAATTACGTGGAAATTGCTGTACGTAGGGCACTAAAAAGGGTCTTTTCCGGATAGCATCTAATTCACTGCACTGGACGCTGCGCTCACATGAGGAATCGTACAGTAACATGCCACAAAGCAGCAACAACACCATTGGCTGAAGGGGGATTCGTTGACGATGAAAAGCCGCACCGCTCTTGACCAGTACAACGTATACGAGTATAGCCGCAAAAGTCCCTGTCAAAAGTCGCATCTAATGTTTATTCACAAATGCCTAACACATGCAGCCCCTAGAAGTAGGAAAACAGGCGCCCCAAAGCTTCACAGCCTTTCTTCCTCACAGACCCCTTTCTAAACTTAGACCTGCCATTACTTCCTTGTGCCAAGGTCAATGCATTCCATTCGGCGCAGAAGTAGGCAAAGGTAATGCAAGTTATGTCACAGAAATGGGCCTGGAGTTTTCAAATAACGAAACTTAAATAATAAAGCTTGTTGCACGATACCCTATGTTTTGTTTTTTCTTTTAAAATATGGTATCATTTACATTATTCTGTCTTTTTGTATGGCGTAAAAGAACAATCGAAACAACCCGCGAGTACATTTTATCCTAACATACTGCACAGGTTATAAAAAATATCTTCGTCTTTATACAGGAAAGCGTGATAAAACAAAAATTGTTTGCACTGAATGTCTGCAGTATTATCTTAAATGTGCTTCATGGAAAATAGTGATGTTTTCTAAAGACTACCACAAGTTCAAAATAGACGTTTCAAGGAATGTATACTGTAGATCTACATGCTTAAGAGCGTGGATGCAAACTTTGATGCAAGTTTGTGCTGTTTACGCCCAAGTCAAGATTATACTACCACAAACTCATTCAAGCACACATGAGTGTTAAAATGAAAAAAGAAGGACTTCATATGACTCGTTTGTCAATAAACGCTCAGGACAACGGAAGCCACCAGCCAGCTGGCACGCGCCCTCAAAAGTAGCACCTTCAGAACGGAACAAATGAAAAGCCTGCCTGCCTGCTCGGAATGGGTGCCACGGTCATTACCTCATCTGTCTAGTTTGTATACATAGCCTTTTGTCTGTAGTGTAGAGGCTGGTAAGTGCGCTGCACACCTGGCTGAATTTGACATATGTCAGTGTTGTGAGAAAAGAGACAAGCGAAATATTTTTTGTTTGGAAACCATGACAACCACACTGCATACGGCAACCACTTTCCAATGCCCACCTGCCCTTCACTCAGAACCAGCAAAAATATGCGTCTATGTTTGCTCTATAACCTTGATAAGCCTATGCTGCGTTTAGGTCACTGCTTTATTTTACAAGAATGGAATGTAATCTACACAAATTAGCATAAACATCCGACATGCAATTCACTGTCAAGCACGAGACGTGAATTCACAGCCACCAGCCGTGCAAGTGTAAACAGCTGTGAGTGTTGGTGGCCACACATATGGACAAGCAGCAAGATGGGTAAGGGCCGACTAGTGTGCGTACACACTGGTAGAGTACTGTGTGAAGAGCAGGATGAGTGAGTACACGCTTTGTCTACCAACCTGCATGAAATCTGCATGGTTCTTTTGCATAATCATGTACATTGTAGTGCGGACATACGATAGCAATGAACGCTAGAATAAACATACTGTCATGAACGTACTTGCTTACGTCTACTTTACCACTATGTTTCATTCCATAGGATAGCTCCCTAAGTGCACTGGAATATGCTTTTAATATGCATTGGAATATTTTTCTTTGCATGTTCCTGTAAAGCTCACACCATTATAGATTAATGAAGCACTGCAACAACATAAGTGTGCATAATGGTTGGCTCGCCATTCGTGCAGACTCTTGTGGCTGTGCATCACTCTTTCAAACATTCGACATTATGAGAAGGATGCATGGTCGACTGACCAAAGAAGTCAAGCTGAAGCTATCCATACTTCGGTCACGGGTGCATTGCATGTTATTCTGAGTGATCAATAATATTCATTCCTTAAAAATAAACTTTTGTGTGCCTGACATGTGATAACCATTGAACCTATACATGGTAACTGTAAACGGAATGGCAGCTCACATTGGCTGGTTTGAGCTAACCTGCCACATTGAAAAGTCATGCGATTAGTGCATCTATGCTTGCACACACCATCATCAGTTGCCTCGAAAAACAATGCTTATAAGGCTCCTCATCCACATCAGCGCACTATCCACACGTAAGGAAACTTGGTTGCTCTCAAGTGTTCCAGCGCACTCAAGTTGCAAGGCAACCAGTCGCAAACTCTCAGTTTTGATTGAAAAAAGACCGCCTTCGATCAGTTGTCGCTTGTTTTATCTCAAAGCATGTGTAACTGAAAACTTAGTATCAAGTGAAAACAGTTGCTCTTAAAATTAAACGACCATAAGCAATGAGTTTGCACCAGTTGCCTTTAAACTTGAGTGTTCTAATAAATGTGGAAGGTCCGTTCGATTCACCCACACCAATCCGAACCTGTTCACAACTGTGCACGCGTAGTTCAGAAATTGTGCAGCACGAGTTCAAGCGGTGCAGGCACAGCACGACACCCGAAACGAATGATGATGTGCCGACAAGGCCGTGCATGCCTTGTTTCTGTTCGCTTAATTTACATCGTTTAGCTAACACTGACCGATGGTGAACCGCAGATGCGAACAATTTATGAGGTGCAAGCACCTTGGCAAGACACACCAAGTTAGTAGAGACGGTTACGGCCCCTACACCAAAGCGCTGTGTCGTCTGCTCAGCTGCACGCACGGCTGTACCAAGCTGGCACCGTCAGCGTATGAGGTGCAGCAAAATCGTGAACCAGTACTGCACCTCTTCTGCACCTTTCGAAACGAATGGCGGGGTTCAGAGGTCGTCAATGCGGCACCGCTGCGTTTCATGAAGTGGTTCACGTGATGCAGGCAAATCGAACAGACATAATACTTGAGTTTTATGTTCCAAAATCACAGTATGATTATGTGGCATGCCATAGTGGAGGACTCTGAAAATGTTGACAATCTGATGCTCATAAAAGTACACTGACATCGCACAGTACAAGGCCTTCTTGCTCGAGTGTGTTAGAAGCGATTACCATGCCTTTGCTGAAAATTGCATATGCAAATGAGTTCTAGATGTACCGAGCTCGAAGCGCCTATCCAGAAAGTGGGGGCGACACATTTCAGACAGTGTAAATGGTGTGTATCGACATCACATGGTTTGAAACTTTTTAGGCATGCGCTGCGACCATTGGTGCGTGATTTCACCCGGCCGGCTATATCGATCCATAGCAGTCAGAAGACGTCACTAGTGCAGTCCATAGCACACTGCTGGATTATTCTAGACAATTCGTATTGAGCTCTGTACTATTGCCATGCACCTGGTAGACTCACAAGCTTTAGAACTTGTTGTTACAACTTGGCTTTACAACTTCGTTGTTCTAGTATTGTTGACGAAAACCACTATCTGTTACCAGTCACTGCGAGGCGATGTCGTGAATAAAGCCTTACCAGTTCGACGCACCAGCCAACCAGGCATGCGAGGTGCAACCGCGGTGCTGCCTCGTCGGCCAGCAGCTCGTAGGTCTGGACGACCGCCAGCAGTCGGCTTCGCTTGCCTCCCGGCAGGTTGTACTCGAGGGCGTCGCGGAGGGCCTTCAGAGCCTCGGCGAGGGCGGGCTCGCCGAAGTTCGTGTCCAGCACGATGCTCATGAGGTCGTCTCGGGCCTCGCGCACGATGAGGTCGTTCGCCGAGGCGACCCGCGGTAGACGTCGCCGTTCGCTCGACATGCTCTCCGCCCTGCGTCCAACAGCGAGGCGTACGCTCGAGTGAAGAAGCTAGTCGTGGGGCCGCACGTCCCTGAACAACGCTCTTTTTCTCTTCCCCTCTCTCTGTATTAGTTTCTTTCTGGGTGCATATCGAGCCTCCAGGAACAAGGAAATTTTTCGTCTCCCAGACAGGGCTTTTGCGAATGTTTTGTTTGTTTGCACGGCTTAGGTCCGCAGGGCTGACACGGTTAAAGACGACGTGCGTTCCCCGGCAGAAAGTATAGCCACTGAATCTGGAGTAGAACAAACGTTGCTTTGAGGTGACAGGATAAACTAAACTTGCCTAGAATACCGGCGCTCTTCCGTGCAAATTTAAGCACCTATTAACGGAACCTGTACACAAATGATTATTCTCTTTACTCGTTCCTTGCCTGTCTATGTCTTTTGAAGGAGGAAAACGGCGATGACGGAGATGAATGGACTGCCGTTTGTTGCTTAGATGCATTATTCAGAAGCTGCTACTTCGTGGCATACACGAAACAGTATCGCGCCCGTGCCGAATCCGTAAAAAGAAACGTTCTGCAGCGATAGAGACCGCACAGCTGGGTGCGTCGAAAATGAAGTTCATTTTTTTTTTAACAGAGAGAACGAAACGCGGCGATTCATACCTTACGCGGTCAGTAGATGACACATGGAAAGCAGCTGACATGACAGCGGGAGGTGTGGCCGCCGTGGTGCTGCCAACTATCGGAGAGGGCAGCTGTACGAACCGTCGGCGATCTGTCAGCCCCCTGCTAGCAGACAATCCCGATCGACACACCACTCGCCGCAAAGCAATCGCGGTCACGTTCATGTCGGCAGTCGCTTCCACAAACCTGAACGGCCGCTAATGCGTTCGGGGAGGTTGTTGGCCCCCGGCAATGTGTGCCGATCGAAGGGGTGACGAACCCGCTGATATGCCTACACGTCTACGAAGTGTCCTAAGCCCGAATCGGGCAACACCGACGACAAAGAAACGTTCTTTTGCTGTTCTCCGCGATGTCCAACCTCCGAAACTAAGTTCCCAAACTTCTTCAACCTGTCTCAAATGCCTGAAGTGGCTCGATCCTCGCGCAGATCCTTGCAGATCGTCGCAACGTCAACACACGATCAAAAAGTGCCGAAAGCCAAGGCGGAACAAGCCTTCAAGGCGATCAGTTTCATCATCATCAAGAGGTGATGCGGTTGTCATGCCAACGCTCCCGTCGACGCGCCGATGTTCATGCCTATTTGCACGTCTAAATTTTTTTCTCCTGTGATCAAGTATCATCATCACAAAAGGATGCTGTTGTCATGGCAACGCGCTCGTTTATTGCATCGACGTCCGCACTTGTTTGCACGTCCAGCTTTTCCTTTTGCGGCACGTGACGCGCAATCGCCGGCTGTGCGCGGGCTATCTGAGGTTCGCGGTCCAGGCTGATCCACCGAACACGATCTCTCGCCGAACACATCGCGAGGACCCGTCGCTTAACAGTAGGAGGCCTTCGCGCAATCGCCGGCTGTGCGCGGGCTATCTGAGGTTCGCGGTCCAGGCTGATCCACCGAACACGATCTCTCGCCGAACACATCGCGAGGACCCGTCGCTTAACAGTAGGAGGCCTTCGCCTGTGCACTGAACTCCGTGGCTGACTGTGGCCGTCATCACGTGTGGCACCAAGTCGATCAGCTCACGTGTTGCGTTGGCACTGCTGCGACCATGGCAGAATGTTTGGCGTGCGAGTTGGTGGACGCCGGAGCCGTGAAATTTGGCTCGTTCACGCTGAAGAGCGGCATCACCTCTCCGTTCTACGTAGACCTCCGGGTCTCCGTGAGCTACCCGAAACTTCTTGTACGTACACTTTGTTGAGCCGAGTCGGCGTATATTTTCGACTGAGCATGCATGGGTTGCCACGCATCCTGCTTCCAGCTGAAACAAAGTTCATTTCGCTTTCTAGCACGACATCGCCGATGCTGTTGTGGCCAAGATCAAGGAAGACAACATCGATGGCGATCTACTGTGCGGGGTTCCGTACACGGCGCTTCCTATCGCCACAGTAAGACATGTCTGTTTCGCGTTGCACATGCAAGAACATCGTTGGTCAGAATTTTCATATGGAAATAAAACGCGTTAACCAGATGCTCAGCTGTTGGCGGACATAGAATAGACCAAACAGGCTGCGTAGATTTGGCGGGGTGCTCACGTTTCGGCATCGAGACAGACCGAGAGGAAACGTGCCCGCAGTAGTGTCTCCTATTAGCTGCTGTCGCGGGAACGGTGCCAACACATGTATAAATTTGCCTGCACCTGGTGTCTGGCTGTTCATGGCGTTTATCCAAAGTATGGGGACAATAATTAGTATAAATATGTGAATAATTAGCCCACATAAATGAGGTTTTTTTAGCACACTAATGTTCAAGATTATTCTGTTACAATTTATATGTAGAAACAAACCCTAACAGACCAGAAAAAAAAGTTTCTAAATGCAAAAGCTCATCAAGTAATAGTTATCCTAATTGTACAAAACAAACTATAATTGCAGACCAGGTGGGACATAATAAAGGAGTAATTAAGTAGAACATAAATAAAGTTAATGACCAAAAGATATGCTATAGTCTTGTAGAATGCTTGTAAGGTGCATTATTAGAACTTCACATTTTCTTGACCGCCAGGACGAAATCTGTGGACTTTCATTATCACACGTGCATGAACTAATTTTCTCGAGGGTGTCCACATTTATCAACTTGTCTATTGGCATTAGATACGCTTGTAATGTACGTGCATGCAGTTCCTTGATACACTACCACTCGAAGGAGGCAACCATAAAGGCATGAACGAGAGCTATCTATTGCTAATAAGCTGCTGTTGTCTAAATTTATGACTTTCATTACAAGGAAATTTAGTCATTAAATGGGCATCAATTTACAATCTGTGATCAGTTAAGTATAAGTTGTGCTCCTGTTTTGCATGTATTCAAAAATGTTGGCTGACAATGCTCACCAAGTCGTTTTGAAGTGTGCGACCTTTCCGTGCGCAGTGCGTGTCAATGGCAACAGAGCAGCCAATGGTGATGGTCCGCAAGGAAGTCAAGGCGTACGGCACGAAACGTCCTATCGAGGGAACCTTCCATCCTGGCCAGAAGTGTATCATCATTGAGGACATCGTCAGCAGTGGGTCCAGCATCATTGAGATAGCTCAGGTGTGTTAATGCTTGTAAACATGAGAACGTATTGTACCTGCCAACGGTGGCAGGTTTTTCCGTGAACCCTCTTTGTGTCCACATTGTATTTAGTTTAGCCCATGCTGTCTAAACTGGAGGCTGTCTGAATGCGGCTCAGCACTTTCACTCATACGCAGATATTTAACTAACAAAACGCAGATTGTAAATTTCGAAGAGTCACTATCACATGTTAAATCAGTCATAATGGGTGTCCCACAAGGCTCGCTTCTAGGTCCCATCTTACTTCCTGTATACATTAACGATCTTCCAAACTGCCTGACTAGCACCTCATCCATTTTATATGCTGATGGCACCTCTACATTTACTTCTAGTGATTGCATGAATACCATAATAACCCGACTCAACTGTGACCTGCAGCAGCTTATCTGTTTGGTGCAAAAAAAAAAAATTGTATCAATGCATCTAAAACCCAATTCATGCTTTTGCATACAAATAAAGGTGTCATCCCATCTGCACCCCCACTCATCCTGAATGATCATGTTGTTTTACTTGCACACGAAGTCATCTTTCTTGGGGTCAAGCTCAATCGTCATCTTAAGTTTAACCCGCATGCTGAAATGACCTCAAAAAAGATTGCTCTTGGTATCAGAGTACTAATTTTAACATGCTCGTTTTTCCCACAGCATATCAAAACTTCACTTTATTACGCATTTATACATAACCACCTTCAATACTGCATTTCCGCCTGGGGAAACACATATACCACACATTTAACACATCTACAACATTTACAGAATCAAGCCTTGCAGATCATAACTTTTTCTAGCTACATGTCTCATTCGGTACTAAACTACACTTCATTAAGCATACTATCACTATCTTACACAGTTCAGGTCAAACTAGTTTTAGTAATATATCACACACTTAACTATGAAATCGAATATCGATACATTTTAAGCATCTACTCAAACTGATAGTAACAACACTAGATTTTCGTCTAACAGCAACATTTTACTTTCCCGAATAAATACTAATTGTGGGAAATTCACAGTTCTTTTCACTGCCATTCAATACTGGAATATATTGCCATTAGTGATTAAAGCATGCCACACAACAATAATATTAAAAAAACTCATGAAGACACCCCTACTAACAACACTGCTCACTATTGATTCATTATGTTTATATACATAAAGCATTTAATTCATTTCATTACAATACCACTTCTATAATATGTATCATAGAATTGTGTTGAACTTCTCTCTCCAATTGATGGTTTGTTGTTTCTAGAAACTTAATATTTTGTTAAATTTAGTTGCCAGCATGTTTTATTTTTTATATATAAATTGTACAGCCATGTTCTTTGACAAACTCTTATGTTTATATAAGTTACATTGATTGCAATTTTTATCATCTGTAGTTAGTTCTGTACTATTTTCTCATAAATTACGTTTCTTGTACAGATTTATTTTTTGTTGGTTCTTTTCATTGTTCTTTTTTCCTATATGGCCAGCTTATTATTTTCTCGCATCCTTTTTTTTTACTCTTTAACTGCATTTTACCATCACATGCAATTTATTGATATTGACAAATGACTAATAGGAGGTCCTCCTGACAGTTTTGTAACTCCGGGACCTCCTTCTGTATTAATGGTGAATAAAGAATTGAGCTCAAGAAAAAAAAAGAATAGCAGTAGGAAAATATAGAATTAATTCAGACTGAAAATATTATTAACAACTCTAAATTTATTAGCTTGCCAGAAAATAGTTGATTACGCCATAGAACCCATTCAAGTGACTTTGGTAATAGAAGTTTCACCCTAAATATTTTTCAGTGATATTTTTCTTTTACACTTCCGACAATTTCTATGGCATATGTTTTTCGCATGTTACAACAGCAGCTTGCGGTCATGAGGTTATGTCCAAACGAATCTTTCGATGCAATGGAATGCACAAAGTTGTGTGACTGTGACCTGGACCGAAGGAAGACCAGAGGATCACACTAACCAAGTCTCTGTCGCACAACTTCATTAACAGCAAACCAATAGACATAAACCGCAACCATACAACAGTTATGTCAGACTTTGCCGCATGAAATAATGAGACAATGTGCAACCATGCCTCTCTTTCATCTGCAATAATGTTTTTAGTAGCCAATCCAAACGTGCGTCAGCTTATAAAGTGTAATTGAAAAAAATTCCGACTTTCCATGTTTTTACGTGCTGTGCCAAGACCGCAGCAGCTACGTGTCACCACTACACTTTAAATTTCATGCTGAATCGTGTAACCCCTTCAACAGCAGTGTGTACAATTGAACACATCAACTAAAGAGGCACACGCACTGCGGATTTCTTCAAGTGGCTTTAAACTCAATGTGCACATTTGTGCAAGCTTCCCGAGTGGACAACTAACAGTCATATAACTTTGTGATGCGTATCGCTGCAGAGGATCACTTAACTGGAGACACTACCATGTTCGATGATTGTTCAGCGTGCCACGTTTCAGGATTAATGTAGAGCTTTTTTTCTTTGCTAGAAACAAATAGAACCAGAAAAACAAGCTTGGCAGATATTTTCTACATAAGATTTTATTTTTTTAAGCATGAATTGAAGCTGACTGATTGCAGAAAAATTAGGTATTTAATTAAATTCTAATTAATCTTAACTTCAGATACTCTCAAAACGTTTTTCTTCGTTTTTTTTTCTCGGAACGTATTATCAAACGCCTTAGAATTGGGCCATGCGAATTTGACGCATTTGCAGGCAGTGCATCATAACTCACACCTGATGTGGATACTAATTACTTCCTGGTTACTGTACTCTCGTACTATTTGAGGCGCAATAACGGAGGTGTTTCCTTCAGACGGTGTCAGCTTAGGAAGGACTAGTCATATTATTTTCAGTGTGAGACGGAACAATCCAGTCAATGATAAAAATGCAAAATGCGCCGCAGCAGAATGAGCGGCTTCTGGCCGAAAGCTTGCGTATTTAATGTCGGCTCCGGCGGTTGCATTTCAATGGAGACGAAATGGTAGAGGCCCGTGTAATGTGCGCTGTCAGAGCATGTTAAAGAACCCCAGGTGGTCGAAATTTCCGGAGCCCTCCACTCCGGCATCTCTCATAATCGTATCTAGATTTCGAGACAGAAAACCCCAGATATTATTATTAGAATGACCGACAGCCAGCTGTGTCTCGCTCTCAAATGCGAGCCATTTGTGGTCACAATGCAGCCTAAGCTTGTGTACACATGGCAGTATCAGCTGCAATCTCCTGAGAGAAATGCTGTCTTTAGATGAAGATAACCGAGATTGTCTTATACTTGTGTACACGTGCGACAGCACAAAGATTACAAAAGGCCTGGCATTCTTTCAGCTGAGGCATAGTTGGCAGGCAGTGCTCGTCCCGTTGTGCCTGTTTGTCTGAGTCGCTTCTGCCTACGTCAAGTGACGCTCTTCACTCTTGCATAGCGGTACGTCTGATGCAATCTCGCACTGCATTGCAACAAAGAGTGCACACTAGCGTAAATGCAGTGTTACGCTGTATTTTCATGAATTTACCAAGCCTATAGTACATTTAACAAAATTTAGTTACTCTAATTTTGTTTCTTATCATTGTCAGTGGCAATGCACTTTACAATCTTGATATTGAAAGCAGTGAAACATCGTCAATGCACGGCTGTGTATTTTCATATTCTCACCTCTTATATTCTGAAACATTAGGTCTTGTTTTACTTCCTAACTTTCACGTTTATTGCCTTGCCTTTTTTGTTTTTATTTTCAGTCAGCCTGTTTGTATTTAAGAACTGCGGCGCCATTTATGTTACAAACTTGCCTGTCAGCCCTAAAAATAGTCGCAGCTACCCCCCATCAGGTGCCATCTTCATAAATAACATCGAACTTGCTTGTTATGTGCTATTGTTATGGACACTTGTCACAATGTCTAAATTCTGTTTAGAAGCCCACATGCACACACGGGTAGGCTTCCTAGACGAAGCATACAATCACTTGTCATTGTGGCTGTGTCACCAGTCACATGTGCTATCTATTTTTATTCTTAGTCACCTTACATATATGTAAAATGATTGTTAAATTATGTGCTTTGACCTGTCGCTTTCCTTGTAAAGGACACTAGTCTTTTTTTGCTCAATTTTGTGTATTGAAGAATTTTCTGTTTGAAGAAACAATTCTTATCAGTTGTTTCGTTTTCAAAGGAGTATACATTCTTTCACAGTTTCCCCCTAAGAAACAGTGTTCTTTTGTGTTTCTTGATCCTCATTATAACAAAATGTGCATTTGATGCTTGTACAGCTTGTTCATGGTGATAGGGGCTAGAAACATTGTAGATTTGCTTAGTTTTAAATTACTATGGTGAGACGGTCATATAAAGAAGCCATATATACTGAATTGTTCTGTATATGAAACAGCTGTAAAATCTTAAAATATTTTCAAGGTATGAAATATTCTACATACCGAATAACCTATGCGTAAAAGTTTCTCGCGGCTTCCTTTAGATTGAGTATATCTGGCTTCAACTGTAACTACATACATCCATATTTATTGAAATGTATAAAAGACCAGGAGGACTACTATATCTGTATTTGTTGTGTGTCTGCATCTGTGTATCCATATTTGTTATCTTATGTTTATTTATAAAGGTAAGCAGCAAATCGCAGTGCAACACAGTTTTATAATGTGTCATCAGAACCTCACAAACATGTGGAAGATACTTGAGCCAGAGAGAAGAGCACATGAGACCCAAGAAACATTTTTGACCTTGACACCTATGCAGTTTATGTAGTGTTTATGAAATGACATTGCATGAACAAAAGGATGAAGGAATGTAGTACTGCGCAAAGCAGTAAGTTTTCGTCACTCGAGCTTCGCTTTCGCTCTGCTCCTCGCGCATTAGGCAGCCGGGAGCATGTTGTTATACTTGCAGTGAAAAGCTAATATTGTGCAATTAAAACTCGCTGAAACCAACACCTTGAGAAGGGGTCAGTTAGTGCAGCTACAGTTTGTACAATACAGTAGATGCTCAGTAAATAGAACTATCTTAAATAAAAATGCTGCTTAAATGGAACCACTGACTCTACAATAAGTGGTCTTGTACTACTTGAATCTTGCACCCCTGATCATCTCTCATTTCATTTCAATGGAGCTCCCATTAAGGAGCACACATTTTTCTTGTCCTTTTATGTTTTATTTAATGAGAGTCTACTGTATTTAGTGAATTGTATAGTTAGTACAGATTTAGAAGTTTGAAAAAGAAACAGATTTGCATGTACATGCAAATTGAATTATCATATGCAACATGAATAAAACATTTTATTTGTCAGTTTACCAGCACATCGTGTTACCATTCAAAGCATAAGAAATGAAAGAACTTCTAACTAGGCTTGCATGAATATTCGAGTGCTTCAAATATTCGAACGAATATCAAAGTATTCACTTTGTTCGAATTTAAATTATTGAAAGTTTAGAAGGATTCGTAATGAATAAATAAGTGTATACTAGTCTGTGTGCAATGCTCGTAAAGGTGGTTTCACTGCAGTGGAGTGGTGCTAAACTGATAAAGCACCTTTTCAAATGTACATTAGTTTGCATATAAATTTTATGTAAAGGTGCTTTCACTGCAGTGATGAGGGTGCTAAACAGCGAAAACTTATATTTGTAAAAATTTGTAAATTTCCGCGAACATATCATTCTGAACATATCACTCTCACATTGATTCCTCATTTTTGATGTTTAAAATCTTTTTATACAGGCTTTTATGCTCCAAATATAGGAACTATTAAATAGTAACATATATTACAGGTTACCACATGTGTTCTACTAAAAGTCGAATTCTACTACTATTCAAATTTGTTTCTACTTCCTTTAAACAAAAAAAAAAAGGGCTTTTGCACAAGCCTTGTCCCAATTTTAAAAATAATATAGTGTGTAGGTTGGTTAGGGCATGACAAATACTATATGCCCATTTTCCTTCACAACATGTGATATATACTACTCGAATACGACTTGAAATTATTCGACCAAAACAGTGATGTTCCGTGCAGGGAGCTTTCCTTTTTCTGGGGAATTAAGCCTGTCGTCATAGAAGAATGTCCCCATTCTTGAAATTTCCTGTAATATCACGAAGATTCCTATTTTCCATTTTCTGGGGAATTAAGCCTGTCATTTTGAGCAAAAGGGAAAAGGGGAATCTTCGTGATATTACTGGGCATTTCAGGAATGGGGACATTCTTCTATGACGACCGATAATTAGCGGTCACAGTGCACCTTCATCTGCTGTAATTGGTTCTGGCACATGCACCGCACAAGTATAGCCTTTGAGATTTGTTTCTAATATTTACGCAGAGCGATTTCTAGTTCACTATTGGTGTTAGTCTTGAAGCCCACAATGTGCAGTGTACTAACAGTATATGAATTAATAGACAGATTTAGTTGCGCATCAGCAGCACCCTTACAGACGCAGCATCCCACTGCAAACTGCTGGCAGGCTGCACCCATACGGCTGCTGCGGACGGACACGCAACCAAAGCTGTCTAATAAAGTCATGCTTGTGCGGCAGTGAAGGGGTTATAGTTGCGATTCAAAAAGTCCCCAGTACGTGAGACACGTATATAGTATGTGTGTGCGTGGATTGGGGTGGAAATTAGTACTGTTGTGCAGGGAAATGTGCTGGGAATTTCGTCAACATTTGCAGGGGAAAATCCCCGAAATAGGAAATTTTTATGTCTCTGAATGGGAATTCTTCGACATAGTACGGAACATCACTGGACCCAAATCGCTATTCGCTTCGAACGTAAAATTCACAATTTGCACTTTTAACAGTTCTTCGCAACGATGTTGAAGCATGAGAAGCAAAGTTTGTGTTGTTTCACCTGAACTGGGAGATCTTTTTCGTAAAGAAGCGCCCGCTCTACGAAGTGGTCCTTTTCAGATGCACATTTCATGACAGCAAAGTGAGTTTGTCTTGTTTGTTCTGCTCTTGAGGCATACCTGTAGTGCTGCACAGCCCTCCTGACTGAATGTGAGACTACCATTGTTGATTTGGCACGCAAACAGCTGAATAATGGAAGATGCACGATGTCTGCAGGCACTGTCCACAGCTGGCCTGGTTGTGACCGACGCCGTTGTGTTCCTGGACCGTGAGCAGGGTGGCAAAGAAAACCTGCTCAAGTGGAACATTAAACTGCACAGGTAACGAGCTGCCTCTGGCTGGTTTAGTCGTCTCTCTTTGCTAGCCCCTGAAACCTCGAAATACTGCCTGCCATGCTAGATCAGTGGCTACGGTGCTCGGCTGCTGACTCCAAGGTTGCTGGTTTGATCCCGGCCGCTGCAATTTCATATTGGTGGGGGTGAAACGGTTGAGGCCCGTGTGCTGTGCGATGTCAGTACACCTTAAAGAACACCAAATCGTTGAAATTTCTGGAGCCCTCTACTGTGGCATTTCTCATAACCATATCATGGTTTTTTTTTTTACATAAAACTCCAGATATTACTAGATCTCCGAATACTCTTTTGCGTGAAGGGAAATTAGAACAACTTAGTCATCTTTGTTTCTGACTGTGCAGAGGAAATTTATGAAAAAATGAAATACATTAAAAATTAATAGTATTGCAAAAATGACTTGTTTCAACAATGACCAACCATTGAAAAATTGCTACAGTTAAAAAAAAGAAATGCTACTATCACCTTTGCAATCATTTTTTTAAAATCAAAGCAAGGTTTAGACGTGACGAATTAAATTCATACACGGGTATGTCACAAGAATTTTAATGTGCTTAGGAGACCATGCTGTTCAAAAACTTTTTGGCAGTAATGCTCTTTCAGTTTTTATTATAGAATTGAATGTACTAGGCATATAAGTGTACAGGCTGCTTAGATTTATATGAAGATGGCCAGGCCTAGTGTGTAGCCGTGATGTCTAGGCATTCCCCCGTTTAAAAAACATCATTAAAAAATTCATAAAGTTGTCATGAGAAATTCGTAAACAGTGGGTGGGCGCTAGAGCCAACATTTCCACAGGTGGATTTGTCTCTTTCAAGGCTGCAACTTTCTTGCCTTTGGTTGCTAAAGTTGTCGTGGCACTTGTAACAACTTCAATGTCGAACTGGCTACTAAACAGCGCAATCGAAGTAAATCGTGTATCAGACACTGTGCGTTTATAAATTATGAGAACAAACCTACAAAGGAATTGAAGAACCAACACCGTGGGCTGTCCAGACAAACATTTACTGGTTTTCGGGGATGCATGTCGATGGCAAAAGCTCGGTGGTTTCCGCGCTTGGTGATGGACGTGAACTGTGCACACTGGGAAGCTCACTCGATGAAGACCCTGCTGCCATTGGCTTTCACATCTTGCTGCACCACTGTAGCTGATGCTTTGGGAAAAACTTCGTGATTTTTCTTCAATCTGGTTGTGGCCTTTCCTACCATAGTAGGCACAGACTCTTCATACCTCCAATGCTGCATTGTCCTTCAACTGAAAATTCATGGCTGTTGACAGCTTACCTTAGCCACAACTGCACCTGCTACACCCTTTGCTGTGTACAGCTGTTGTGGGTGACTTAGTAGCCTCGGCCAGGAGCGCGAAGCCTTGTAAGGTGAGGTAGGCACTTCCATGTCTACCGATGTGCGCACTTTAGCTCGTGCTTTTACCCATGCTGCTGGGATTGTCCACAATTGCAGCCTCTAAGTCAGTGTAACTTTGTTGCATTCAGCTTTGTTGTCAAATGGGATAGCAAACGACTGCATCTGAAAAGACCTTTACCTGTCCCTGCTGGCTTATAGTTGTTGTGGTAGCGATTTGCTGTAAAATGGCTCACTGTTCTTATTGTTATTGCTGCTTTGATAAAATAGTCATCGCTCCGTTGGCATGGTGCAACCCTGGGAAGTCACCAGGTGTGTACGCAGACTAGACCCCTGTATGTCGAGTGTGCTTCACCATTCAGAACAAAGTATAGCTGAGCCAGCACCATCTTATACTTACCACTGCTGGATGATGCTCTGACAGGACTAACTGAATAAAAAAAGAAGTGCATGTCTGACTGTGTGGGCAAGCCAGATCAGAACAGATCAGTCTGTGTCCATTGTGGCCCCATGAAAAAAAAAAAATAATGAGCAGGCCTTCATAAGTTGGTCTCCATTTCAAGGGTTGACGACTCTAGACGCCAGTCACTGGACCACAGACCTCTCTAGTTTGGGTTCGTGTTTTGTTCGTGTGATGGCTCTTGTCTATAAAGGCCTTCAACAGTCTCTCCTGTACCGCCAGCAAACCGTTTGACATTAGGAAAACATGCCTTCTGGAAATCTTTACCAGTAATGAGTAGCTGGCATGCAATGCACAATGCCAGATCCAGAATTCGCTTTATGGCTGCTGCAAGCAACCTTGAGGACAATTTAGAAAGTGCTTAAAGCTCTAGAACTTGTAAAAGACTCCAAACGCTCCTCAACTATCATCATCTAAAGTAAGACCGATAGACGAGCTAGGTGGTACATATAGAGCTTAATTAAGGACTTTCAAGCATTAACTAAGATAGGAACAAAGGAGAGAAAAAATGACACTAGCGCTACTATCAGCTGCAAGCTTCATTTAGCAATATTAAACATATATACCCAGACCACGTCACTAGTATCGTTCTCTTCCACCTTATCTCTGTCTTAGTTCATACTCGGACGTTCATAAGATATATCGTCATCATATAAAAGCAGCTTGACCTAACCAGCTGTAATAATGCCACAGACACCCACAGCTAGGACAAAGGCTGTTCCGTAATGGATGCGAACTTCGTTGCTTTTACGGAGAAGTATTCAGTTCCTCTAGAAAGATTTCCTTGTGAACGACTGACATGTACATGATAGTTTTCATGAAGAAACAAGTGGTTCCTCCCGGAAGAATCTCCAATTTTAAATTCGCACGTGTAGTAAAAGCTCATTGATTTAAACTCAAAGGGGACTATGAAGTTGTTCAAATTAAGCAAAGGCTGAGTTAAGTGGGTGGGCACCAGAATGAACGGACATCGCACCACGCTGCGCGTGCAGAACTTGAGGAAGCCACGTCTAGACAAGTTATCGTAAACCAGGTACTCGTCTGCAGCAGAAGTTCATGGAGCTTGAACAGCAAACAGAATGAATTGACCTGTTAGTGATGCACCGGCTTGCATTCATGTTAGCAGTAAGCCTTAGTGTGGAATTTATCATGCTATTTGTACGGTATGGTGTGGTATAAATAATTTTAATGTTGTCTTGAGGATTAGTCCCGACACTTATGTTGGCTGCTCCCACGTCGAGACAGAAAGGCAAAGCCCCTCAGCTGCCACGTGGGCCCTCTGGAAAGCCTCTGAGTTGAAGCACCAGCACAACACTGTTTATACTACAGAACACAGTTATTTGAGTGACAGTGTTAACGCAATCAAAATTAAAACTAATCAGTAATTTGCATTTGCTTTTTTGCGTCGAGACTCTGTGAGCACCTGTTTGCAGCTTGCCCAGGAACTTCCGCACAGCATCCGAATTTTCATCTGCTGAGAAATGTTGCTGTCTCATTGTTTTGCATCTCTGGTGAATTCGGTTTGGTTTGGTTTCGGAACACACTGTGACCCCTTGTGGCCGACTTCTGCGAGGTGCAATGAAAAACCAGGGGCTGATAGTTTTCATTAATTGTGAATACCGATTCGTTTGAATTATCAAAAGTTTTCCTCCTTTATAAATGCGCAGGGTTGTGCTAGGACCAAGGCTTGAGTTTGAAATAACTGTAACTGTAAGTTCCAATCAACCGAGTTCGAATTTATGAGCATTTTCTGTGCTTTGCTGTGCCTATGAACAGTGTACAGGCCCTCTGGAAAACTCCCCTTTGGTGGATGACATGGATTTTGTTCTGCTTATGAAAGAGTTGCCAATCTCTCTTCAGAAAATTTTCATGTGGCAAGCTGAAATGAACATGATCATTTTTACGGTGAAGTAGCCGGTTTCTTTTGGGAAAACCCCCCGTGACAAATTGACGTGGACATTGTTTTGCTTATTTTAATTCTGTGAAATATACCTTGTATGTATCCCTCTGTGTGTGACGCTCAATGCCATTCTTTGGTTGTCTCGAGTACGAAGCATTGTCAGACTTTATGGTAGGAAATTAACAGTTGACAGTTGGGATTGTGCAAATGACGCTTCATTAGTTCAAAATAATGAGAAATAACAGGCAATGATGCCAAAAAAAAGTATAGTGAATGCTATTAGAAGTAATTGTAATATAAATGTGATGTTATTAAAAGTAATTACAATTATTATCTGCTAGTTCTCAATATTGTTGTGTCTAACAAAAAAAAATGAACCCTTAAATGTACATTTCTTTGTTGATAGCTTGAAGCTAAGTTGAAGTGAATGATGATTGGTGTCTAATAATTTGAAAGCAAATCCAGATAGTAATAGCAGGATTTCAATAGTAGTAGAAATCAAGTACAAGCTATAGGCAGTAAAATACATTACATTTTGAAACTTTCCATAGTTAACCGTGAAATGCTGGGCAAGCACCCCATCAGAGCAAGCGCTCCCCTCTTTTTTTCAGGATATCTGAAATAAGCGCCAAACAAGGTTTAGTGAATGGTCTGGAACTATGCAAGCACCTCCCCTTCCCAAATCTGGTTGGATTAACCTTCATCATGGGGAGCGGGGGGCTTGCTTGGCATTTTATGGTAGATCATATAGGCCCATATAACACACTAAAAAAGATGATCAGTATACCGGTATAGTGCACAATTATTACGCAGTGTGCCTTTGCAACGACGCAGATTGCCCCTGAATAGATGTTCTCGTGTCATAGTGACCGCACGATGCGGTGAAGCTGTCTTTTCAGGCAAGTTACATGCGATATAATGAATCACGCAATTTCCCTTCACTGCAGTGGTATTGGACATCTAGGGGTTGCTGGTCTGACAGCAGCTTCTTGATAATGTGTTCGAGCCAATTATCTCTGTCGCTCGGCCTTAATGGCACGTGTGAGCAGCATGTTGCTTATGTTTCATCATGCTGTGCAGAAACCTGCTTCCGATATGTTACAGTTGTTTTGTATAAATAAGCCTGGGTTGTGAGTTTGTCACATCTTTTTCTCATCCCATCTTAAGCACTGTTTTATTGTTTGTCTCGCTTTGAATAGTACTTCAGAAATCTTGAATTCATGTCACGGATGAACTCAGACACTGTAATATTAGTTTGAACATTCGTAGTGCTCGAAGAATCGTGCAATCATAGTGACAGTGGTTACTTCTGATGATGCAGCATCTTTCACATCACGTCGATTATGAAGAAGCTGGTGGCCAAGAAGCGCCTGAGCGAGGAAATGGCCAGCAAAGTTTCCGCCTTCGTGCAAGCGGTCAAGGCACCCCTGGTGCCTTCCCTCTTGCTGCCATCGCCCACCAAGGTGGGTCGCGAGCGTTTGATGAGTTGCAGATCAGGGGCAAGCTGGTAGCGTATTGTGACCGAAGACATCTTACGCGTGAGTTTGACGTGGAAGATCTGCAGGGCCTCTAGAGTTGTGCAACTTTTGGTAAAACAAAAAGCTGTAAGAGCTTGCATTTTCTACGGCATAACTGAAAAATTCAGCCAGTTACATAGTAGTGAAAACCGTCATACAAAGAAGCTGTAAGCGCTCAAGTGTATAGACTTGGCAAGCAAAATCACGCAGCATTGTAAATCCACTATCAACACTACAAATGCCTCACGTCACACGACTTGCCGGCAGTGCAGCCGGACTTCTGCCAAGCGTGCGCTCCTTGTTGTCTACTTGACCCTCTTACACTCCCAGGGGCTTTGCCTTAGGTTTATTAGGACTAGTTCAAGTCTGTAATGTTAACATGAATAAAGAAATAGCAAATAGCTTTCTTAGTATTTTGTATTGAGTCATGATCAGCATCATAATTTAGTTTTATTTATTTTTTTAATCACCTCGCCTACTGGTCATGTGACCTGCGTAGCACCTACAACCGCTGCTACCACTGCGATGTAGATGATAGTGGCCTATGGTTAGGCTAAGACAACTCAATTGTAAAAATGAATTTAAAAGTTCGGGATGGGAATGCTATTTGGTCTAATGACCAAATGATTTGGTCTTCGCCCCCAATATAGTGGAGTGTCCGCATATGATGCTATGTCGCTCTATCAGGGTACTCTATATATCACCCTATATTAAGAAAAGAAAGTAGGGCAGACATGATGTGTTTTCTTGTCTGTCTGCCGTGTTTGTTTGTGGGGCAGGAAATTTTAATTGAGAAAGCACAAGCGTGTTGACTTTCAGCCACTTCTCATATTGGAGGCTCCAAAAATAAAATTATTTATAGTTGAAGTGGTGCCTGCTTATACTTGCATTCACTTGAGCTCAGAGTTAACGCTTCGAGGGCCGAATTTTTCCGAATAAAACTTTTGCAGTTGGTCAAAATACTTTACTGCTGTTTATTTAATGTAAAAAGTGTGTAAAGTACAGAAAAAACTATTAAAAAGGTTAGGAATATTTTGATGTCATTATCCACTCCGAGCTTCATAATGTTTAATAGTATGTCAGAGCATGGTGTTCCCTGCGCACAGCGCCTTATCGCTGTCTGCTCACACAAAATGCATGTTTGCTTCTTTCTTGCATTTACGTGCTGATGCACACACGTAGCATTTTCTCTATGTGCGGCCAGCTTGGACAGAGTCAACTCTGCAATTAAGAGGAAAGAAAATATGCCGTGAACATTTGTCATAAACGAGCTAAGAGCATTGCAAATAAATTGGATATCAATTTCCACCGCCCTAGCAGAGAAGTGCCGATGAAAGATAAAAATCAAGTTTCGTGTGCCTCCTTTGCGATCATGCGGTGAAAAAGAAACCACAAAAGGGTGTTTCCAATCATCAACACCGCCGACCACACTATGCACTGACACTAGAAATCACTCTTGCTTATCTTTGCAGGGAGGTAGCACAATCATTTCTAACGCTTTTTGTAAAGCTGCACTGCACAAACATTTAGACAATGAACACAAGAGATGAGGACCAGCTCAGACTTTCAACCGATTTATCATTACTAAGACGCACATATATGTAGGCTACAGAAAAAGATAAGATCACATGCTTATCCAAGAACACAGGTAAAAAAAAAAAAAATAGGCTGCAAGAAACCAGTTGATCACCCTGGAACACCACGTGCTGAAGAATTCAAATACACCAGTTCTTTTTCTGATAATGAAAATAATCTGTGTACGGTTAAACCAAGCACTGCTCAAGACCATCTACTGTAGCATGCTGTACGAAGTGCAGTGCGTGAGTAGCAACCATGCTGTCGGTGGAAAAAAAAAAAAAAAAACATTAAGGACCTATCATACCATACATGCACACCCCTGTAATTTTTATATCAAAGCAACAATACACTGGTCTACCTAGCCGTTTAAGTAGTCTTTGCACCTAATGCAATTTGCTTCAGCATGGCACACTGCTGCCTCAGGTTTGGAACCGTTTGTATGTGTTTGAGAGAGAGAGGGAAAGACAACCGCTCGGTGGGTAAAAGGTGTCTCTAGTGAGATAAATACTGAACAGAAAACATCGGGCATAGGCCGTGTTGGACAAAAAAAAACACCTCGTCCATTTATATTTCCAGGAGTGTCGCTTCTGTCACGCCTTATGATTTGCAGCTCATTTCTTGCACCAGGAGGGCATGTGCTCTCATGTTAATTCAATTGCTGCAGCGTAAGACACAAACTAGAAAGACGGCCTTTTCCACTTTGTTAGCTATCACGTGTCTAGCCATGACTTTTCTATCTCGTTCTGCGATCTTGCGATCACCCTGTCGACGAAGGACAGGCGAGACGGTGGCGATGAGCCCGTGCCGAGGTAACAGCTTTATTCGCGACGCAGGCGTAGGCGGAGTCGCTGCTGCAGCGTCCAGCCAGGCCAGGAGCTAAGTTTTTCTGAAAATCTCTCGTGTCTCGCGCTACATAGCTCGCTTCTTTTTTTGGGGCGGCCACTTAGCCAAATCTAGCGTGGCGCTACAACCCACATGCAGTAGTCCTTCCTTTGTGTTAAAGATATTCAGTTGAGAATCAGCATCAATTTTCTTAACTGTGGTCAGCACCTTACGGAACTGCTGTAATTGTTTTAATGCAATTCACCCAGCTTTCTACTCTGCCGTGGCGGTCTAAGGCTTATGGTGCTCGGCTGCTGACCCAGAGGTCGCAGGGCCGAAGGTCGGCCTTGGCAGCCATATTATGACAGAGGGTAAATGATAGCGGCCTGTTTTACCTAGATCTAGGTGCACATTAGAGAACACCAGGTGGTCAAAATTTGCCGAGCCCTCCACTCCTGTGTATCTCCTCATCATGTCTTGGTTTTTAAATGTTAAACCCCAACAATTATTCATTGTTACTGTATCATTCTACTCTGATGATCAAAAGCACTAGTTGTGCCGCATCAGGGGCTCTATACATGTGCATCGAGAGGAGCGGTATTTTCAATAACGTCAATGTGCAGCCTGCTTAAATAAAAGCTTTTACATTTGTTCACTGTGCTAGTGTGGTAAAGCATTGCCTTTAGCTTAACGCTCTACGCATGCTACGAAATTTTCAAGGCGCTTGTGTCACAATTTTTTCAGAGCACGCTGTTTCGGCATTTGTAGTGCTGTGAGACTGACAGAATTATTGCAACTCCCTCTGTCTTCTTGCACAAACAGGACACCTACGCCCACCGCAGCCTGATGGCCCAGTGCCTGCTTGCCAAGCGCCTGCTCGGGCTGATGGACCAGAAGCAGACCAACCTGGCCGTGGCAGTCGATGTCACCAGTACCGACAAACTGTTGGAGGCACGAAATTCTCGTTCATTTATAATGGAGTCCAATAAAAATTTAGCTCGAGAATGCGGGCTTTATTCTCAGCGACGGCAGCTGCATTTCGTTGAAAGGTGTATGCGAGAACACTGATGTGCCTGAGCACGTTCAAGTATAGAGACCGAGTTGGTCCAAATTAATGCCACAGTTCTCCACGATGACATGCCTCATAATTTCTCTTGTCTAGCCCTAGCCTAATCTGGTTTTGGCATGTCAAGCCCCAAACATATTTAGTATAGCATTTAACCCTTTAACAGCTCATCCTGCACAAAGTGTCACCAAACTGCTTAGGACGAGTATAACTCATCTTAGCCGAATCCCCTCTAGCGTTCTTCGCCGAATCCCCTCGACTCCCCTCTAGCGTTCATGCGAGAATCGCGCATTTACGGGTTACATCGCGTGTCATCCACTAGGTGGCAGCATTTGCTCGAGGATTTAGTTTATTCCTGTGGCAGAGGCGCAGTTTTTCTATGGAAAAACGCCGTGCGGTGGCGGCAACCCATGCATAGCTAGTACGTGATCACGAAAAAGAAGCTATTCATTTTTGTTGTCTTCTTCAATGATGATGGTTCGAGCACAGATATTTATCTTGTGTGTGGAAGTGAAGAAAGCTGTGACGGTGACTGAGCAGCTCCTCTGGTAATGATGCAGACAGCTGAGACGTGAACATTGCTAGTGCCCGCCAGTGAAGTGGCTTTGCGTTATTCCGCGTTATGAAATTTTTCACGCAGCTCCGAAGCTTCCCGAGTGAAATACCCAAAGGGTGCTTAGGCTACACAAGTGAAGAAAGATGTGTCGTCTGTAAGCATTTTGTTTATAAATTTTTTAAATTTTATTAGTGGCAGGTAGTGGGTTTCCTGTGTGTTGTTAAGAAATAAACTTTATTCTGTCAATTCCATTACATGTGTCTGTCCACATGTAGTTGCACTCTGCAAACTTATTAAAATGTAGTAAGTATTGTTCAAATGGGTTTAGGACATCCATTCTTGTTCTCTTCCATACAGCTTTCGTTCCAGGTTATTCTGGCATGCTGATTTACATTCTAACTGTCTCAGTACAGACATATTCTTACTCCCAGAAAAGCATATAAAATGTTCAGCACTTTAAAAACTACATAGTTATACACAAAAATGATTGCATATTTAAAGTCTGCACGCAATTATACATATTCTTAGCAAGCTTCATAGCAATTGATAAAGAATTTTTAAAAAATTGTTAAGATCTATGTCTTCTCTTACATATGAGACTGGAAAGAAGGTGCCGCTTTTTTGACGTATGAGCACTCTCACCACAAAGTGCCAGGTTGTCCTACCACTCTCCTATTAAAAAGAATTCATGCCTATCCAGCAGGGCCCAGAATCAAACCCAGTACCTTGTGCTATGCAGTAAGGGCACTCTAGCCACTTGACCACAGCTGTAGTGGACATCCATGTCCTCAATGGATGGCATAGTGTCTGTTGTCATTCAAGGGCACTTTAACTACTTAACCTCAGCTTTGGTACACATATGTTTTCGAAATTGCAGCTGGCTGACCAGTTGGGCCCGCACATCTGCGTCCTGAAGACCCATGTGGACCTGCTGGAGGACTTCAACCGGGAGGCCATGCTGCGTTTGCGGGAGATAGCCACCAAGCACGACTTCCTCATCATGGAGGACAGGTAAGGGAGACTGCGTCGCCGCTGTGAAAAGTCTTCCATAGCGCTATAGTAGAGAAAGGGCACTCGAGCTTCGCTTTCAAAATTACAACATGACAGCATAAGCGGACCACATGCAGATCACCTTCAACAGTGCAGCTAGGCAAGGGACATCTGTGCAAGTAACATTGGCAGTTTAAAACTATCCTACAGTGCCTATGGCAAGTACATTTGCAAAGTTCCCTGCCGCACCATCGTTCTTCCTTTTGCGAATTAGCTGATGCCCTGCAATGCATCCTATAAGGTTCCACGTTCACCTGCCCAGCGGCACACTCTGTATAATGGGTGGGCAGCCTCAAATTCACATCATTTGATGCTTGGTGCGATTCCTTGCTTCTTCCATGCAATATAAGTATCTATGCAGACTTCTCCCACTGTATGACATTTAGAAGTCTTTTACAAAGGAATTTCAAGCACTGGTGTGGCTGTATAGTAGAACACCTTGCCACACACGAGGCCTTGGTTCGATACTCACCTGAAAAGAAGATTCTTGCAATTTCTTCACTTGCATCTACCTTGAGCTTCCACTCATAGACAATGACGATTTTTTTGGTCACAACAAACAACACTGACATTGGAATATCTGTTGGAACAAGATTTTCTCGATTTGCAAGGATTTCCTGCAGCTTGTATAAAGTTTGCCGCAAAAGAATTCCATAACAGTGAATGTTTCATAGTTCCTACTGACTTCGTTTCGGCAGGATTAGTTTCTAGTATGGCTTAATTAATAATATTACAGCAGTATGCATTTCTGTTTTGTGTTCTAAGTCCCAGATCTTTGACCATATTTACAGGAAGTTTGCAGACATTGGTCAGACGGTTCAGCTGCAGTACACGAGTGGTGCCATTCAGCACACAGCTGTGGACCGATATGGTGACCGCGCACTCACTGCCAGGACCAGGAATTCTGACCGCACTTCAGCAGGTCAGTAGTGACGATGATACCTCATAGCCACTTATTGCACTCAAAGGGGCTCAAAGGGAAAAACTATTTTTCTCATCTTAGTGAATCGCTGTTTCTCTATATCAAAAATGCCTTACTTGCCGATGGGAGAGAAGTTCCCACACTAGTCTCCGTGATGTGTGGATTTTGACAGTCAACGTAGAGTTGCTATGTAGAGCAGCCAGAGACTTTACTTACCAAGTTTCAGGAAATTTAGTTGAGCCAGTATGGCCAAAATGCGAAATAAACACTTCAAAATATGGGACATCACCATTAAAGATTTTGGCAGAAAATTTAAAACATCGGTCTTTTCATCTAATGTATTAGTAAACCTGCTGTGGTGAAATTAATGATGTTAGAGTTCTCATAGCAGAATTCATCAGCCTAAACTAATTAAGGGGGGACGTGGTGATGAAAATTATCTTTGTTATTTATGAAGCTAAATGGATGAAATTCAGCATGCAGGTGTCATTCGTTGTGCTGATAGCATAACTGAAATCGGTTTTAAGCTATATAATATAACTTTTGAGTTACAATGCTTGATAGACTTCTCGTTGTCACCCCAAAATTACTTAGCTAATTAGACACAAGTTCGTCAAAGTTTTTGCATAAGAATATTTACAAGGGTCCATTTTGTGTCGTAATGCTATTGGTTTATCTTTAATATTTAAGTAAGCACACAAAATTTTTTTCTGGAATGTCCTGGACATGTATTAACATCTACAAAAAGCCAATTACAAAAGTCTGTATGATGTGCACACAAATATGGACAGCTTTACGGCGCTCACCAATGTCTCAGAATCGAAGTGCAGGAATTGGAATGGCTATTGCTTAATTTGCTGTGAACTGGCACAGAGATGACTGACAGCAACTGCTCAAAAAATGAAAGCTGGGAAAATAGAGCTCAAAGATATCAGAGCTAGAAGCTGATAAAACGGAATTCTGAAGGAAGCTGGCTTTATTTTTCATTGGAGAAATGCATCTTTGTGGCTATCTTGAACTCTGAATCTGTCCTCTTTATGATGGTGCCAATATGGTGGCACTTTGCCAAGGGAAAGCTGCAAATTTGCATTTTGCTATGCCCAATTTTCACATAGCTTTCGATGACAGCCCACCATTAAAATGCTTGTCTCTCAACTTCTACTACTTATTTTGATCTAAAATCACACTATGATGTAAAACATGGTCTCAGGATTACATAAAAAAAAATTAATTGAAAAACTGAACGCTTTGATTAAATTTACAATTCCCATTGCCACGTCCCCCCTTAAGTTCTTTACTTTAGCGTCCCTTTCATTGCCAATGCTACAAACGCTGACTTGTCATAGTGCTTACTACTTGCTGTAATCATGATAGATTAAAACACACACAGACGGAAATGAAAGAACACAAGGCATAGTACTGAACTGCTAATGATACTTTAATTCTAATGGAGCAAACTTATATGGACCTAACAAGCCAATGCCAGCACACTTAAGCCTAGCACCAACAGAAAATAAAGTTAGAAAACAACCCTCATTATTTTGCACCCTGCCTATGGCTTATCAAAGTTCATAAGCCCGAAGCCGTGTGCAAAAAAAAAAAAAAAAAAGGTTGTAGGGACATATATCTCAATGAGAATTTCAAGGCAAACTACAGCTACTACTTCGCATCAAATACTCTGTACTATACCCATTTCATTATAAGATGTTGCCTATAGATTGTTCTCTGTAGATGCATGCTTTATTTGTAGGCTAGACGATGTGGCATTCTCCCACAATGCTACTGGTGTGTTGCAAGTCTTCAGGACATGGGATCATTTATCTAAATTCGAAAGAATCTTGCTGGTCATGTTTTATAATGTGCCAATGTGGTTATTTGCAGGCCAGCCGACCTGAGCAGGCTTGCGTGCTCATCGCAGAGATGAGCTCTGCGGGCACACTCATCTCTAAAAGCTATACTGAAGGTGAGTACACAATGGTGGCATTCGTCGACCAGAAACTGTTGTTCACTTGTATTCTGAGAAATCACAAGCGATACTAGGGTTGTCACCTGACCACTACAGTGAAATCTCGGTATAACAAACTTCAGGGTGCTGCGGCGATTCGTTCGTTATTTTGAAAGGTCGTTATAGTGAAAGCCAGAATATTAAGCATAAATACTTACTTTCTGCCAACCAAAACGACTTACCTTTAAAACAGTGGGTCCTTGAACTCGTTTTTCACAAGAAGAAACAAATGCGCAAGTGAACACTAAAAAAATGCACGTTTACTTAAAGAAGTCGGTAATTTTTTTTTTTACGCGTGCAGCAGAAATCTTGCAGCGCGAAGGCCTCCAGCTCATTCACATTCCTGTTGCGTGATTCAGTGGTGCGATTCAATTTCTTGCTTAGCGAAAACTTTTTCGGCTCTTTTGTCGCAAGCAGAGATGAACTCATTGTAGTAGCACAGCAGTGCGAACGCCGACTTGCTTTGCGGATGCGATATGTAATCACCGAAAAGAAATGAACACGACTGACAAGACCTTTTGGAGCACATGAATAAGTGACAAAAATAAGAAAAACCCGACACACATGGCTGTCATCGTCTCTTTTGAACAAAAAAAAGTGCAAAAAAAGAAAATTCTTCGCGTTTCGTTTTCTTTTTCCTCGCTCTTTCGGGTTTTCCACGGCCATGCTTCCTGCGCCATAACTCCCACTCTGCCTCGCCGACCTTGCCCTCCCGTGTTGCCCTCGCCTCAGCGCTTATAATCCTGCAGTGTCGGCGTTTCAACAAAAAGAAAGAAAAGAATGTCGTCCTTCCGTTTTTTTTTTTTTTTTTAAGAAGATGGTCTTTCTTGGGGACCTTCGATGCCAAAATTTTGGTCCGTCTGTCTTTCTTTCAGTCTGTACATTTATCTGTTTGTCCGTGGTAATGATCCCCCTATAGGCACCAAACGATACATCCAACGGCCAACCCCTTCCGTAGCGCCCACCAATATTGCTCAAGTTTCAACGTTCATACTTGTGCGATTGTCAAAGAGCAATTATTGCACATATCCTAGGCACCATAACACGTCGATGTTTTGTATGTGTGCCTTTATAATAGAAAAGGCACACACAAGTAATTCTAAGGACCGTAGCGCTTATCATGCTGCGCTGACAGTGCAACGCGATGATCAAAAAGGCAAGTGTTTCCAATGCTTTCCTAAGACGACACAGTGGTGGCACTCTACTCCTTTGCGTTCTACAGACGCGCATCTTTCTTCATCATACATCAAATAAATGTTTTGTTTGCTCTTTCCTCATGCAAAACCATGGTTCTTCGACATTTGCAGTGAAACATGCATATATGGGGCCAGAAAAAAAAAACAACTAAGGAGCGTAAGGAAAAAACTTTACGCACTTATTCTTGTAGCTTGGCAGCACGTGCCAAGCAAAAAAAAAGATTGAAAAGGATGCGGATATTAGGCATGCAGGCAGTCACATACATGTATGGCTTTGACCATTATGTGGCTGTTAGCAGATGACGTACAAGTATGTTTTTGATCTTCAAATGGTTAACCAGCAGTAACCCATACGTAGTGTATATCACCTCCAATGCTCTTTCACGCATCTGTACCTTGCAGTAGGCCCCAAATGTATGTCCAGATTCGGCATCTATTCTGTTTACTCTTTCTCTGCATTTTCTTCTTTTTTCCTCTAATTATACAAGTCTCTGGTCGTAAATTGGCCAGCTCTGCAAGGACCTAACAAACACTCAAGTTGTCTTGATTTTTTCTCTGCAGCCACTGTAAAAATGGCCGAGGACTTTCCCGACTTTGTGCTGGGTTTTGTTTGTCAGTCGAGAGTTTCCCACAACCCAGGACACATCCACATGACACCTGGTAAGCATCTAGCTTAATTATTGATGCATGTTTCAGTGGGTTTGCAACATAATAAGAGATGACAGAATGGACGTAGAAATTTTTCTCATCATTTGCGATAGCCAGGGCCCACTACCATTGATCCAGCTTGCACCGGTTACACCTAGCTGCAAGTTGGTGTGCCATTGTGGCAGGCCTGGTCTTAACAACGTGAAGATAAAACGTAGAAAAGATTGCTCTAACGTGCTGAGCCAAAGGCTATGTGCATAAAATGAAGATAAGGTTTGTAACAAAGAGATTGACTGCAGGACTTAATCCTGCAAAATGTTTGTAAATGTGTGTACTAGCAAGCAGCAAAGCTGAAAGCTCAGCTCTTAAAAACCATCAAACTTTTAAAAGTGCGGAACACCATCTATACTTACGATGGAGCTGTGGTTTCACGCACATCTGCGCTCTGCGATGACGCAGCTATTCATGTTCTGTCCAACAAACGGAAGAGCCTAACAGTGTTAGCGAGCACTTGATATGAACGTGGGTTTGGTGCAAAGAGTGTGCAACCGACAAGTGGGTAGAGCAAGGTAGTAATACATGGGTACCTTTCTCAAAATATTTCTGCAATCTGTATTAGGGCGAATAGTTTGTCTCGAGGGGTTTGTTACAAGCAAGCAAATAGGGTAGTAGGTATGTAATAAAGTGGGCAGGCAGCACTACTGGTAATAAGGGAAGAAGTGTTAATTCAAAGGCTAGTTTTTTTAGACACAATACTAATCACAACAGACAATGATACCAAGGAAAGTATAAAAGATGTTATTAGAAGTAGTTGTAATGTAAAGTGAAGAAAGAAAAGTGGATGAAAAAATAACTTGCCGCCGGCAAGGACCGAAACCTGTGACCTTCGAATAACACATCTAAAGCTCTACTATTGAGCTACGGTGGCGGTCATTTCCTAATCCACTTTGTAGTACGGTATATATCTACGTCACGGGGTCATGATGTGGACGAAGGCTGCAGTGGGCTTCTTCAAGGCGAAACTCTTTATTTGGCCGAACTTGTGTCCGGCAAACGGAAAATCAGATTACAGTGATACACAATGGTACCGATAGCGGCGAACTGAGCATCAACGGTCGATCAACTGATCATTATTGGGGCTCACTGTCTTTTATACATTGCGCGTCAAACTTTCCAGCCTTCTCACTGGTGGTCGCACAAACGCTGGGACAATCTTTTGTGTTCACGTCCTGTGCGCAATTTTAACAAAATGATCTACTACAAACCTGAAGCTTTTCGAACACTGAGGCGTGATCTGCGCCAAGTATTTCTCACTCTTTATGGATTTGAACCGAACACATCAAAATAACACGTGAGCATTCAAATGTGGAAGCGTCAGTCAGTGTCACCTGTTGCCATTGCCGCGAGAGAACACTTTTTTGGCCTGTTGGCATCACATAGCACATGATCTTATTACGAGCTGACAGTTGACCAATAATCTCTCGCACACTACCTAAATGCATCAATGGCATGGAAGGGCCGACTCCAAAAACTCGACGAGTGCACCACGATGCCGCTTTTAAAAGGCATGTCATCGCGTGTGCCGAAACGGACGGAAATCGGGCCGCATCGTGGTCGTTCGGAGTTCCCGAAACGTGCGTGCGGGACTGGCGGAAACAAAAGCAGAATATTGTCGACAGCAAACATTCACGCAAAGGCTTCAGTGGACCACAGCAGAGTCGGTTTCCGCAAATTCAAGAGCTCCTCGGCGAGTATATGATTGAGTAGTGAGCGGCCCGTGACGACAGAACTGCTCCAAGTGCAGGCTATGCAGTTAGCCTTAGAAAAAGGGCTAATGTGGAGCCAGTTTAAAGCGAGCAGGTGCTGGCTAACTAACTTTATGAAGAGGAAAGGCTTTTCCCTCCGAAGGCGAACGGGCATATGCCGAAAGTTGCCGGAGGATTACGAAGAAAAGCTTCACAGTTTTTAGAGGTTCGTCCTAAACTTGCGGCACAACGTCTACCTGCTTGGGCAAATCGGAAATGCCGATCAGACGCCTCTTCGACATGCCTGGCACCACAACCGTTGAGAAGAAGGGGGCGAAGCAAGTTCGCGTGCTGACATCGGCCACGGTAAAACTAGAGTGATGGCAATGCTCCGTTACACGTCAGATAGGCACAAGCTTCCCCGTACCTCATATTTAAACGGAAGACGCTCGCGAAAGGAGTCGTTTTCTTGAGTGGTGTGATCCTGCGGGCCAACGAGAAAAATGGGTGCGCGTCACAATCGATGACTTACTTTTTTTTTTTTCGTCGTGGAAACCGGGTGCGCATTACAGTCGAGGGCACGGTAGAATCGAGTAAATACGGTAATAAAGTGGGCAGGGAGCACTACTGGTAATAAGGGAAGAAGTGTAAATTCAAAGGCTCGTTTTCTTAGACACAATACTAATCACAACAGACAATGATACCAAGGAAAGTATAAGGGATGTTATTAGAAGTAATTGTAATGTAAATGTGAACAAAGAAAATGGGATGAAAAAATAACTTGCCGTCGGCAAGAACAGAAACCTGTGACCTTCAAATAACACATCCAAAGCTCAACTATTGAGCTACGGTGGCGGTCATTCTCCTAATCCACTTGTAGTACGGTATATATCTCGTCACGAGGGTCATGATGTGGAACGAAGGCTGCAGTGAGCTTCTTCAAGGCGAAACTCTTTATTTGGCCGAACTTGTGTCCGGCAAACGGAAAATCAGATTACAGCGATACACAATGGTGCCGATAGCGGAGAACTGAGCATCAACGGTCGATCAACTGATCATTATTGAGGCTCGCTGTTTTTTATACAATGCGCGTCAAACTTTCCAGCCTTCTCACTGGTGGTCGCACAAACGCTGGGACAATCTTTTGTGTTTACGTCCTGTGCGCAATTTTAACAAAATGATCTACTACAAACCTGAAGCTTTTCGAGCACTGAGGCGTGATCTGCGCCAAGTATTTCTCGCTCTTTATAGATTTAAACCGAACACATCAAGACAGCACGTGAGCATTCAAATGTGGAAGCGTCAGTCAGTGTCACCTGTTGCCATTGCCGCGAGAGAACACTTTTTTAGCCTGTTGGCGTCACATAGCACATGATCTTATTACGAGCTGACAGTTGACCAATAATCCCTCGCATACTACCTGAATGCATCAAGTCTGCCAGAGTGACATTCCTCGCTATAAAGAAACTGGTAATGTGTCAGGCGTACTTTCTGAGGAGGATGGCTTAGAAGAGCAGCTCTATGGGCAAGTTGGTTAAACAGGCTAGAGTTCGCCATTAAAACCACATCTAGACCAGAACGAACCTGTATTCCAGAAAAGCATAGCCACATATTCACTGAACATGTACAGTGCACGGCCCACAGCATCCCACTAACCTGCGATAAACAGTTTTTCAGACAAACCGGCACATGCTTAAACAAGTTTAGTGAACATCACTACAATTTTTGCCATATAAACAGCCACAACGCCACAACTCAGCGCTTCATTGCAGCTGGATACATCACAAATTGCAAACCTGTTTTTGGCAAGTGCTGAGTGACGGGGCAAAGTTAACCACACTCAACATGCGAATTCATTGAGGCAGCAGAAATTGTTAGGTTAGGTGCAAATTGTGTGAGCCTGCCGTCCATTGCCTAGCTGGGAAAAGAACCTTAAACATTTGTCCCAATGATCTGCACAAGTGATGTAGGCTTGTATTTTATATTATCTGTTGATCACGTTGACATTATTGCTGTGTTCTTTTCCACATTGCTGTCTATATCGTTTTTTTTTTTTTTTTGCAGTAAAGTTCTTTTGAAGGTCTGTGCTTTGTCATATTAGTGACTCTCCATTGTCCTTGTCTTTTCTGCACTGTTAACACTTTAGCATGAGGACTGCTTGTCTCGTTCGCAGGCGTGCGGCTGGACGCCAGTGGGGACAGCCTCGGCCAGCAGTATTGCGACCCTGCGTGTGCGGTGACCGAGCGTGGTGCCGATGTCATCATAGTTGGACGCGGCATTGTGGCTTCGGCTAACCCGGAGGAGGCCGCACTGCGGTACAAGAAGGCCGCCTATGATGCCTACCTATCGACACTGTCCTCCAAGTAGTGCACACTCCGAACAGTGAATCTGCTATGTTTGTGATTCAAAAAGAACCCTATCGGCTTCTTTCTTTCTGACCTGGCCATAAAATAAATATTTACGTTTTGATACTGTCATGTGTACGTGTTTTCTACAGCGAAAGCTGTTACGAGGTCACAATGCCAGCCGATTTTGGAGGTGCAGTCACCGGCCACCACCGGTGTCCATGACCGCATGATCATATGATATGTGGAACGAGAGAAAAAATTATCCAAGACCAGATGGGATTTGAACCCTGGGCTCTCCGCATCTCGCTCAAGTCTTTTATTACAGAGCCATTCTGGTGCTTCAAACTCACTCCCAGAAAGACACTACAGAGGCTTCATGTTGGGCTAGGAGTCACATTAACAAGAGTTATGAAGAGTAAAATAACTAGAGTTGTGGGAATAGAAAAATTTGAGGTGTGAAGTGAATTTGAATATTGAAGCTCGAGTGCAAATTAGGTCAAATATATCCAGAATATTTTTCAAATACTTCGAAGCAAAATTCCAAAAAAAATGGGAGACGATTCCTAAGCATATCCTCATGAAATAGCAGCACAGAAGTGTTTCTTTTGTCTAGGTCGATAAAAGTGCTGGCAGGGTGGTGGTTCATAGTCAGCATATCAAGAATGAGGCAACACAGAGGCCAAATTGTGTTTATGCACATGATTTGGAGCAACCAGTTTTTCTGATAACACTTTACATGTGAGAGGCAAAAATGCTATTTACTCTGCCTCTCATTCTATTTCAACTTCTCTGGAAGCCCAGCTAATGTGGAGGACGATTGTCTGCTCTTTTCGAGTCTAGAGTTCCAAGCCGCCTAGTAGCCGCCTAGTAGTAGTATGGGTATATGAACATCTAAAATTTTCAATGCTAAAAATTTTTGGCATCCAATTTTTCGGACTTCCTGCCCAAACTTTAAGTCCCGAACAACATTATTTGAGCTCCCACCTCTGCCACATTTATCATCTTGTAGGGAACTAAGCCGATCGCGCAAGCCGATTTCGCCATGGAGACACTCCTCCATGGCGAAACACTCCTCCATGGTTGCGGCGATGGCGTAGTGGTTAGAGCATCCGCCTCGCATGCAAGAGGTCCGTGGTTCAAATCCCGGTACCGCGCAGTTCCCAACCAGATTAAAAAAAAAAAATCCGCGTGGATGGAACTGCATTAAGAGGCCTGGGGTGCGGCCTCACCGGCAAACACCGCCGAGAACGCACTCCCTCACCAGAGAAGGATTGGCCACCCTGGTGCAGTATCTGGCCACTACCTCCCACATGCTTACGTCAAATAACTCACGGCCCTCAGTCCCCAGCAGCTGCGAAGCAACTGACCATGGCGGCGGTCAGATCTGCAACGCAGCAGAGGGTGCTAAGAATCTCTGGATCCGGACAGGCCGCCATTGGAACCTGAACTTGGCAACGTTTAATGCTAGAACCTTATCTAGTGAGGGAAGTCTAGCTGTACTATTCGAGGAGCTAGAGGGTGTTAAATGGGATATAATAGGGCTCAGTGAGGTTAGGAGGACAGATGAGGCTTATACGGTGCTACAGAATGGGCACGTCCTTTGCTACAGGGGCTTGGCAGACAGAAGAGAACTGGGAGTGGGGTTCCTAATTCACAGAAACATAGCTGGCAACATAGAGGAATACTATAGCATTAATGAAAGGGTGGTAGGTATCGTAATTAAACTGAATAAAAGATACAAGATGAAGGTAGTACAGGCTTACGCGCCTACATCCAGCCATGATGACGCTTCAGTTGAAAGCTTCTATGAAGACGTGGAATCGGCAATGAGTAAGGTAAAAACACAGTATACTATAGTGATGGGCGACTTTAATGCAAAAGTAGGGAAGAAGCAGGCTGGAGACCAGGCAGTAGGAGATTATGGCATCGGTACTAGAAACGCCAGAGGAGAGCTACTAGTAGAATTCGCAGAACGCAATAATTTACGGATTTTGAATACCTTCTACCGAAAACGAGAAAACCGCAAGTGGACATGGAGGAGCCCTAATGGCGAAAATAAGAACGAAATAGACTTTATAATGAGTGCACAACCTGGAATCGTGCAGGATGTGGAAGTGATTGGCAAGGTACGATGCAGTGACCATAGAATAGTACGGTCTCGAATTCGCCTAGACTTGAAGAAGGAACGACAGAAACTGATACGCAAGAAGCCAATCAATCAGCTAGCACTGAGAGGGAAAGTACAGGAATTCAGAGTGTCGCTGCAGAACAGGTACTCGGCTCTTAGTGAGGAAACGAACCTTAGCGTAGATACAATGAATGATAATCTAACGAGTATCATTACGGAGTGTGCAGTGGAAGTTGGAGGCAGGGTAGTTAGACAAGACACTGGCAAGCTTTCCCAGGAAACGAAGAACCTAATTAAGAAGCGTCAAATCATGAAAGTGTCAAGTACAACAGACAAAATAGAACTGGCAGAGCTTTCGAAGTTGATTAATAAACGTAAGGTATGCGATGTAAGAAGGTATAACATGGAGAGAATTGAACACGCTCTGAAAAACGGAGGAAGTGTCAAAGCATTGAAGAGGAAACTTGGGATAGGCAAAAGTCGGATGTATGCACTAAGGGACAAAGAAGGCAAAATAACTACCAATATGGATAGGATAGTTAAAATAGCAGAGGAGTTTTACAGAGATCTGTACAGTAGCCGTGACAACCACGGCCTTAATACTATAAGAACTAGCAGTAACCCAGATTACACCCCACCAGTAATGATAGAAGAAGTCAGGAAAGCTTTGGAGAGCATGCAAAGGGGCAAAGCTGCTGGTGAGGATCAGGTAACATCAGATCTGCTGAAGGATGGAGGACAGATTGTGTTAGAAAAACTAGCCACCCTGTTTACGAGGTGTCTCCTGACGGGAAGAGTACCAGAGTCTTGGAAGAACGCTAACATCATCTTAATACATAAGAAAGGAGATGACAAGGACTTGAAGAATTACAGGCCGATCAGCTTGCTCTCTGTAGTATACAAGCTATTTACAAAGGTAATTGCTAACAGAGTAAAGAAAACATTAGAATTCAATCAACCAAAGGAACAAGCAGGATTTCGAACAGGTTACTCAACAATTGACCACATTCATACTATCAATCAGGTAATAGAGAAATGCTCAGAGTATAACCAACCCCTATACATAGCCTTCATAGATTACGAGAAAGCGTTTGATTCAGTAGAAATATCAGCCGTCATGCAAACACTGCGGAATCAGGGCGTAGATGAAGTATATATAAACATTCTGGAAGAAATATACAGGGGATCAACTGCTACCATAGTGCTTCATAAAGAAAGCAACAGAATACCAATCAAGAAGGGTGTAAGGCAGGGGGACACAATTTCCCCAATGCTATTTACCGCGTGCTTACAGGAGGTTTTCAGAAGCCTAGAATGGGAACAGTTAGGGATAAGAGTCAATGGAGAATACCTTAGTAACCTGCGCTTCGCCGATGACATTGCATTGCTGAGTAACTCGGGGGACGAATTGCAACTCATGATTACGGAGCTAGACAAGGAGAGCAGAAAGGTGGGTCTTAAAATTAATCTGCAGAAAACGAAAGTAATGTACAACAACCTCGGCAAGGAGCAGCGCTTCGAGATAGGTAATAGTGCACTTGAAGTTGTAAAATACTATGTCTACTTAGGGCAGGTAATAACCGCAGAGCCGAACCACGAGACTGAAGTAACTAGAAGAATAAGAATGGGGTGGAGCACATTTGGCAAGCACTCTCAAATTATGACAGGTAGTTTGCCATTATCCCTCAAGAGGAAGGTATATAACAGCTGTATCTTGCCGGTACTTAGCTACGGAGCAGAAACCTGGAGACTTACAAAGAGGGTTCAGCTTAAATTGAGGACGACGCAGCGAGCAATGGAAAGAAAAATGGTAGGTGTAACCTTAAGAGACAAGAAGAGAGCAGAGTGGATTAGAGAACAAACGGGGGTTAAGGATATCATAGCTGAAATCAAGAAGAAGAAATGGACATGGGCAGGGCATGTAGCGCGTAGACAGGATAACCGCTGGTCATTAAGGGTAACTGACTGGATTCCCAGAGAAGGGAAGCGGGTTAGGGGGAGACAGAAGGTTAGGTGGGCAGATGAGATTAAGAAGTTTGCGGGTATAAATTGGCAGCAGCAAGCACAGGACCGGGTTAACTGGCGGAACATGGGAGAGGCCTTTGTCCTGCAGTGGACGTAGTCAGGCTGATGATGATGATGATGAGGGAACTAAGCGAACGACGACGAAGAAGCAAGAAACGGCAAGCCACAGCGTTGGTGCACACGGGCGACCCGAGCTTGCGCTTGTTTTGTATTTTCGGCCTGTTAACGTTCCTCGCTCTTCTGGCGTTCCTTGGCCTTCCAGTAGGTCTATATGTAAATAAACTACGTGACATCTGGTGGAGGTGTGTGGACTCCCGTACAAACCTGGAACTTCGCTCCCGTAAGCTTCCCCCTCTACGTGACACGAACATGACCACTGAGACGCCTCTCCAGGTGGGACCTTCGACCGTCCATGTCACTTGCGGCGCCGTGTATCCTCAACGAGACCCTTCTATCTTCACGGGCTCCACTGAGTCGGACGTCGAGCACCATTTACGTCACCGTGCGCAGCAACCAGGCGAGACCTACACGGGCTACATTGAAGATGTGTTGCATCTATGCAACCGTGCCAACTCTACCATGCCTGAGGAAGAAAAAATCAGGCACATTTTGAAAGGCATTGACGACGGTGCCTTTCAGATGTTGCTAGCGAGAAATCCCCCCACAATTGCTGTGCTCGTTTCCCTCTGTCAGAGCTTCGATGAGTTGCGTAGGCAGCGTGCAATTGCTCGTCAAGCCCTCACGATGCCAGACACGCTCGCAAGCTTGCACCTAGCTGCCCATCCTACCGATCAGCAGCCGCTGCTTTCGACAATCAAGGACTTCATCCGCGAAGAGGTAGCGCGCCAGTTGTCACTGCTGCCACTGACACATGAGCACGCGCAAGCTTTGGCACCGGACCTCCAACACGCTATTCGGACCCAAATCACTGAGGCCCCTCCACCGATGCATCAGCAACCACCTGTCACTACGCCTC